GTAAATTTAAATGAGTTTAAGAAAAAGCTTGATACGTATATGAATGAATAGGGCTGGCTTTAAGATTTTATTAATATTTTTTAATCATTTTAATTTAGTTTAGAGGATGGAACAGCCGAGATGGAAATTATTACAACTAATAATTCCAAGACAATTATGAGGACTTTGACACAGTGATTAAAATTTTTATGGAGTCAAAAAATGAGAGAGAGAGAGACTTCTGGGCATGATTCAAAATAGTTTTCTCTACCAAATGGTCAAAGACTCAACCAGGTGAGGGGGGGTGCCATTTTGCATTTATTTTTAATCACTAACAAGGACATTTTGCAAAAAATTGAAGCAGGAAAGCATTTAGGGAAGAGTGATCATTGCATAATCAGGTTTGATGTTTTGTTATATATTGGGATAAAAAAAAATTCATTCCTAATTTTCAGAAATCTAATTTTGAAGCATGAGACAAGATTTATCATTAATAAATTGAGAAATTTAAAATCATAGATAACCACTTCCCTAAATACAAGAAAGGGATAACATGGAAGATCACACCTGATTAGCTTACTAAAAATGTAAAGATGACAACAAGGAGTAAATGTCATATGTTTGAGAAGTTAAACTGATGTATAGTTTGGGATTGAGATATTTTAGTGCTATAATAAAGCTGTGAATTTGAAATCCAAAAGAGCTTATGAGTAAAATCTAACTGATAATGTAAAAACAGTAAGGATCTTTTAAGGTAATCACAATATTAAAATGGGTATTGGACCCTCTAAAGGATGCTGGCAATATTATTTATTGATGACTAGGAGTTGACCGAGCTTTTAAGTGTTCTTTTCTGTTTTTAAAAGAGACGATATTAGAAACATTCCTGATCCTAAACATTTTATGGGAAATATTGGAATTGACCTAAATGATATAAATATTAATCCCATTACAGTTAGTTAAAAAAAGACTGAGATTAAAAATAGGTAAAGCACCAGGGTCAGACAAAGTTTCCCCACGGTTTTACAGGTCAAAGATCAGACATGCAAGCCTCTCCACTTCATTTTTGGTAGATAATTAAACATTAGTCAAGTACTTAAGGACTGGAGAGTAGCTAACATTATTTATACTTTTAAGGGGGTTGATAAGTTAATCTGGAAATTATAGGCCCATTTCTCTTTCTTCTAATCTTATAAAATCTTTAAAAAATCATTTATTGAAATATATCAAATATATATATATATATAATGGATTCACCAAAGGGAAAATATTCTCAAACTAATATTTACCTTTTTTAAGGATTTGTTTACTGGAAGATGGACTGGATGTGGGCTTGGAATACATGTATTTTCAATAAGATTTTGTTAACGTGCCACACAACAAAGTAGCTAAGAAATCCACATCAGTTGAGGTTGGGGAAAGACTGATTACTTTAACTATAGGGTGGTTGGATAGAAGAAAGCAATAGATTGTTCACTCAATTGGACCATTGTTACATATTATTGTAATACCTAAGGAGGCAGGTGCTTTAATGTTTTACATTAATGATAATGACAGGAGTATAATTAGTAAAACTTGCTGATGATATTAAACTGTTGAGTATTTCTAACTGCATTGACAATGTTGATATACTGCAGAATGACTTGGATCAATTAGCAAGTTGGACAAATATTTGGCAAATTACCTTTAATTATAATAAGTAGAAGGTGATTAATTTGTGTTATCAGAATTTGACTTGCACATTTAATACTGAGGGAAACCCAGTCTATAGCATGACTGATGAAAAGGATCTTGACATGATGTTGGATAAATAACTCATGCCATCAAAGAGTGTTCTATCGCTAGTAGTAAACCAAAAGAATACCAGTGTTATTGATTCATTGATTAAAAGTATAAAAAAAGGTATCTCTATACACAAATCGCTAGTCAGACTGCACTTAGAATAATGGGTACTATTTTGGAACAAAATAGGGATACTGACTTCTTGTAAAATGTTCAGTGGAAGGTTATTAGGATGATTCTGGAGAAGGATTTTTTGTTTTGTTTTTTACAGGAATAGGCCAAAATCTCTTTTGCATTTTAAAAAGTTATCTGTGCATGTATATGATAAAGGCCTCTGATTTCGTTATATTCTGAAGATCTCAGGAACTCAGGATAAACATCTAATATTTGGAAAATATGGGCAAGGCTGTGGTTTAGACAGTATTATTTTTCTACTAATGTTATTGACTTATGGAATAAGTTGCCATCAGCATTAGTTCCTAGTACTAGTAGAAGCTGGTCCTTTGCAACTTCACTAAGTCAGGAATTAATGATTTCTTGAAAAATAAAAGGTGGGTGTGTGAGATTAGTCAGGTTGAAGAACCAAATGTTCCCTTTTGCCCATATTTTTATATTATGATATAAATGGAGCTATCATTATCAGTTTCATTTATACCTGAATTCTACTGCAAAGTCTATACAATGGCAATGAATATAACCACTTCCGTTAGTTGGGCTTTAAGTTTAAGTTTTAATTTAAGTTCTAACTTATGAGTTATAAGCGTAAACTCACTCTTCGACAAGGAGGCTTTCTGATCATCGACTTGATATGGATAGCGAAAAAGTAATCGGTCTCCCTTACTTCCAGAATTCACCAAAAATAAACCTAAAGGTCCAGTCTCATCCATATTACTTTTCTAAAAGTAAAACGATTAACTTAAATTTCACGTTTTATAACACTGTATTTATGATACATTACATGCACAAGACTTAAAAATTAACATCAGAATCGTAACAACGTAATTGGAATTATAATAGAGCGAAGAAAGCAAACAAAAACGTTCTAAAGAAATATTTAGTGAATGGACTATATAATTATCTTATAACACAAACGAACAAATTATCCTTAATTAACTAAAGTGTAGAGAGCAGTAGTGTAACTGACAGTAGACCATCTGGAAGTCAATCATTTATTGGCCATCTAGCGGTAGCGTTTCAAAACAATGGAAGGGTCTCATTAATCGTATTTTTTTAACCTTTTGGATGCCTTGTTCCGTAAATATCTGGGTAGCAGTGAATAGATAATCGACCCTTCTACCTAAGTATATTACGACACATTAAATGAGCAAGCCGAAAAAAAGAGATCAGTGGAAATGTATCATTGATAACGATTTTTAACCTTTTACTTTTAGAAGTCTTTCAGAGCAAATTTTTCATCACGTGAAAGTTCAATATTAGTAACTCTAAATTTCATATTATCATTTTTCAAAAACTGTTTTATTATTATTTTAGAAGAGTATCTATTAAAAAATACATCTGTTAAGAAATAACCGTTGCCGGTTACGATAGTAACAAAAGTTTTTTAATAATATTTTCAAGCTGAAAATTCATACAAGTACTAAATATAAAACGAAAATATTTTTTACAGAAAGTAGGTTGTCCTTTGAACGTTTTTTCTCAAATTTTAAACATTTTGACTCAGTATTTTTTCTATTCGTTCGGTGGATGTCATATTTCCAGATTTGAGATTTTAAAAACGTATTGATTATAAAATAAATATATTCTAATTTCGCGGACTTTACTATTTCGAATATTCCTCTCAAATTTCAATCAATCTCATCTGTACAGTGTACCCGGTTATTTTAAAGTTAATAAGTACCGGCCTATTCCGTTGCTGCAAGTAAGCAGATAATTTTAATAAGAGACTTCTATAACGTATTCTCTAAGAGTTTTCTAAAGATAAATTTGCAATACTTTCTTTTCAAAGTCAAGCCAAGTAATAATAATAAAATATTAATGACATTTAAATATCATTTTTTTGGCATAATTCACAGTATATATTTCAACTACTATTTCTGTTTGTGTTTTTTTTTTTTTTTTT